TTTTCAAATTTCCACCCCCTTACCTCACAAATGATACAAACTGTGAAAAAGTACCCTTCAGGCAATATAAAGCTCCTTTCTGTGGTGCAGTTGGGAATTTTGTAGATAGTGTCAACTAACGAATGAACTATGAATTTGACATCCACTAAATTTCATTTTTGCAGTCACTTGAATTAAAGTACATGAATGAAAACATGTCGGTCCAACAAAACCAACATGTAAATATGAAAAACATAAAAATTTTAGGCATAGGAATTTCACATATATTTTATTGGCTTTCTCGGTTTCATACTCATTTATGTGTACTTTTTGTAACTTTTCAGGGCAGCAGAAATTTCATAACAGGGTAATGAAGCCTTAAACATGTACTGGATAAAATCCCTGAGCTTCAGAGACCTGAGTTGCTGAAGTTTCCAAAACAATGAGGAAATACCTGGCCCCACTGTTGTGCAGGTAAATTATGTTAATTTTTTGTGAACAGCATTTCAAATGATTCCCTACACTTGCATGTACATGTACCATGTACCACTAGATTTAAAAGAGTTGCACTGGAATGATGTATCTTATCTTATTTTAATTAAAAAGTAAGTGATGAATATTCATTTATAAATGATGAAATGCATTTTAGATACCAGTATGACTGTCATTGTGCCAATTTTATCAGGTGATTGGAATGAAAGAAAATGATGTCCAAGATGTGGCAAGACATATGGGGCATGGACTGGCGGTACATCGCAAGTTCTATCGTCTGCAGGATAATGTCATCGAACTTGCGAAAATGTCAAAGTTGCTGCTAGCAGTTGAAAATGGTCAGGCTCATCATTTCAAAGGAATGTCTTTAGACGACTTGGACTTGAAAGGTACAGAAGTTAAGAGAAAGGTTTTGAAAATGTAGCTTAGCCTCTTATTTCTTATATATAGCATTGCTCTTGTCTGTTTTTCCCATATTCATTGACAGATTAATAAATGATCAGTATCTGAAACCTGGTGGAGACATTTGGACATAGCCAAAAGATGGCATCGACATGTATTGATTTTATGATGAAAATCATAGTGACCTTATGCTAAACATCATTGTCCAGGGATTATACTTATTGTGTGTTTGCCCTTTTGATAGAATCATTGGTTGTAATCATTGGGTACAGAGTTTAATTTACAGTTCACAAGGTCATGTCCAGTGTTAATAGTGATATTGGCCTTGAGATTTTTAGAATACTTGTCTAAGAAGTAGAGATCTGGTTCATAAAACTTGGTATGGACCTGTACAGTGTAGATGACCTCAAGGGCCCAATGTGATTTGCCATTGAAAGCCCTTGTGACAAGGCAGATTTAGCCCTCATTTTGACTTCCTTATACAGTTTAATACTTTCCATTTTTTTAAGTGACTGTCTTTAAAATTCTGCCTTACCCTATTTTAGATTTTCCTGACGAGGAAACTGATCCAGTAGATCTTCTATCATTTACAACAGAGGAGAACACAATTCCAGAAAACATTAGGTAAAAATATTAATTTAATCATTATGTAATTTTAAGCTCACTTGTTTTCTGATGTGCCTGATGGTGAACGTATTTAATACATGTATCGAGGGCTGGATGCAAAATGCCCCTGAGGTCACCAGTTTTACATAGACTTGTATACGTTCATTATTATAACAACCTGCATGTTTGATTTCAAGCTTGAATATTGATCATGCTGTGCCAAAAACTGTGAGACAAGGCCAAATCTTGGAAAATCCTTGTTTACATTCCAGTGGTTGCATTTATGACGTTAATTTAATAAATTTGGTATTAATTGTTAGAATTTCTTCTTGACAATTTGTTGGCCTAGTTTCAATAGGAGATGTATAGGTTAAAAAAACTAGGCCACCAGGTTAAATTTTAGAAATTGTTATTTATACTCATGTGGCCACATTTGTGACCCAATTGAGATGGAATTTGCACAGAATGTTTGTCATGGCAATATCTAGGCCAAGTTTCAATATGGGCCGTGTCAGATGTAAATTTAAACTAGATCACCAGGTCAAGTCAAAAGAAAATTGTTTACACTAGTGGCCAAATTTCAATGCAATGTGTTTCAGAATGTTTGTCTTGACATAACTTAGGTTATGTTAAAATATGTGTCATGTGTCAAAAAGTAGGTCATCAGGTTGAATGTTAGAAAATTCTTGGTTACATTCTAGTTGCAACATTAAATTCAGGGACTACTTTGGCATGTTGTCCAGGAGAGTAATAGAAGGCCTTCTTGACTGTCTTGTTAAAAATACAATGAAACTGAAAAGTAAGAACAGATAATCCTGTTGTCAGATTTTGAACATGTTTTGCTGCACTGAAATGTTAAGGCAAGACAGCTTAGGCAAAAAAATTGTCCAGACCAAGACATTTAGATATACGTAAATTATACGTGAGTTTAATATACTCAGAATGATGACTATTGAATTCTTAAATGCTCAAAACACTGATTACATTGGTTCCCAAAATAACGATATTATATACATTTTTTTAGTTGGAAAGCCAGCCAATACCTGTAAGAACCAGCCACTGCCAGCCAGTACCTATCAGAACAAGCCACTGCCAGCCAGTACCTATCAGAACAAGCCACTGCCAGCCAGTACCTATCAGAACAAGCCACTGCCAGCCAGTACCTATCAGAACAAGCAACTGCCAGCCAGTACCTATCAGAACAAAGCCACTGCCAGCCAGTACCTATCAGAACAAGCCACTGCCAGCCAGTACCTATCAGAACCAGCCACTGCCAGCCAGTACCTATCAGAACAAGCCACTGCCAGCCAGTACCTATCAGAACCAGCCACTGCCAGCCAGTACCTGTCAGAATGAGCCATCCTGCCTTAACAGGTTAGATACAAGCATTTTTAGTCCATGTTTAGTCTGCTCCTATTTACATGTTTAACAAAATGTATTCGACAGGAGATATTAATTTGCTTGTTTAAAAATTGCAATGATATTTCAACATATAACTTGCAGAGTCTATGCCTGTTAATGGATCTGTAGTTCAGCATATTTATTATTGTTAGCCAGTTTAATTTGCAAAACCAGAGTCGAGATTTTAGTTAGTTCACAAGATTATGAATTTGTTGTCATTTTTAGCTCAACTATTTGAAGAATAAGGAGAGCTATCCTAGTCATCCGAGTGTCCGTGTCAACATAATGCTTTGTCCAAGTTTGCGTACCACCTCAAATATTTTAAAAGTCCTTTGAGATACTGCTTTGAAACTTTGCACACCTGTTTTGTAATCCCCCGCAGTTTAAATCGGGAGGAGGATACTGTTTTGGTGGTTGTCAAAATTTTCTCCCCTTTTGTGCTTAGAAAGGATAAAAAAGAAAATACGACGCACTGGTAAAGATATATTTATGCATTTATTAGCCTACATGACTAGAGAATTTCAGTGCTAATTGTGAGCTATTGTTGTCTGTGACTGTTGGTCATCAAACCTCACCAACAATTGCATTAAATGACCTCTCCTTTTGATCCAGCTAGCTTACAGAAGGTCGTTGGTTCTACCCAGGTGCCTGGTCATGCCTGAAATAATGCCTGTAGGGTCTTCTTCCACCATGAATGCCGGAACAGTCTCCAGATGGCCAAAATATGAGTCAGTACGACTTAAGACCCAACAAACAAACTTTTAATCCACATGCAAGATTTCTAAAATATTTCTTGTATGACCCTTTATTTGTTTTTAGCACAATGCTTCATACCAATTTTCTTAATAAACATTTTTGTAAAGTTTATTATAAAAATCTTGGTTGACCTGATATCTGGCATAACCACTGTAAGAAGTCCATAAGCACATAGATCACATTAAGCTCAATCTATGGAGAATTACATGTATATCTTTGTAGCAAACCATTTTATACAAGATGCAGTTATTGGTCAATGACATTATAATGGTGGAAAGTGGGAACATAAGTATCTTATTGAGAATTTCTATTTATTAAAATGAGGTTTTAATATTCAAGATTTGTTGTATTTATTCTAGGGGAGAAAAAGAAGTGGACTCTAAAAGAAAAGGAATTGCTTAAACCTATGATTTATCGTGCGGTTAGGTTAGGTAAGCCGCCAACTAAACAAGATGTACAGTCTTTACAAAAGAAGAACCCAGTACTTGCACCACTACCGTGGTTGAAAATTAAGCATCAAGCGTGGGCATGGGCCCAGGCTGAACTTAGAAAAGACAAAAAAATCATGAAAGATTTGAACTTGTGAAGTGTTGATTTACATGTATGCATATCCATAGTATATCATTGATGTATTGAGGTTAAGCACTTTTAAACAGAGTTCAGGTTCTTATTTGTTTTCTTTTGTTACTCACTTTTGTGTTGACTTTGCTTGAATTCTCAAACATTGGTTGAATTTCTTTGAAACATGTGTAATACAGTTTACTTAATGTTGTGTGCACATTCCTATTCAATGCCATGAAGCTGTGTTGACTGATGATTTTGCATAAAGTGTTGTTTTGTTAAAGAAGTCAAGCATTGTACACATATTATTTTTGTTTGTGCTCTATGCCATTTACTGATTTACTGCATAAACGTTGCATACTTGTTTAACATCATGACCCCAACCTCTGGGCATGTTACTGATGAACCCAACCTCTAGGCAAGAGTATGTAACTCTGTTAGTCGATAGTTAGGAAAAATATTTTTTACATATACATATAAGTTTTCATTGAACATATTGTTTTGATACTTTGCTTCGATTAAATTTGATTTTAGACATTTTCTAGTGTTGACAATAATTTTTTTGATCTTTGTAATATCCTTCATTACTGTAGTCTGCTATTTATAACTATATTGCATGATGGGAAAGAGTACTGAACTTCCGGTCAAGATATAACATGGCTTTCTAAATAAACGTAGTTACAATCAAATGTGTTTCTTCTAATATCTATACCCTGGACATAACATCTGGCGACGAGGATATCCCCAGCAAACACATGACGTTTAAATAACGTCGGATTAATGTTAGATTTTGGTCACGACGTCGGCGACCAAAATACGACGTAAATCTGACGTTAAAATACCGATGTCTAATAGACGTTTCTTTTTGACGTCGTACTAACGTCGGGTTATGGTCGGTGTCCTGACGGTAGGTAAAAAAAATAACAAAAAATAATCCTTATTCGCTGTTGTAATCATTTAAACTTTTTTTCAAATGTTATTTGGACTACAATTGAAGTGTTCTTATATAAATACAGACCAATATCGCGGCGCTGCAACCTAATAAAACATAAAGGTGGCGCTGTATATACGCAAGTTACATGTGTTATTGTTATGAAATCTATTTATAGCTACAGATCTGTTTACAAGTTCCAATCATTTAACGTTGTAATATTATCATTTGTGGTACATTATTATTATCATTTGTGGTATCAAAATGACGAGTTTTTAATAGTGCTTTAACATTTAATCATAGTGACAGAAAAGGGAAAGAAAACATAATTAACCTTTAATTCGAATCTAAAGTCACGTGGATGGAAATTCAAATTCGTAGGCGTTACGTTTTGGCTGTCGGTCAGGAATCGGGATGCATTGATAAGTGAATATTATAGGTTTTCTTGAACTTTTAGGTCAGTTCAATTGATTTAGATTTATTTCTACTTTGTATTTGATAAATAATTGCATGATTGCAAGCACTCTTAAATTTAATTATCATTATTTGAACAGCTGAAGTAAAATGTCACACAAATTCGCGATAATGTCTAATAATAAATCTTTTTAAAATTGACATGTTTTAACTCTGCTTGTGGAGAGTTTATAATATGCCTTTCAGTACTACCAAAGAGAATGCTTAGTTTTCATATTTTTCTTAAACTGCGATGTTTTTGTCAGTTAAAATCTGAGAATTGAGAATGAATTTGTACGATTTCGAGCATTTCGTACCAAGACGTTTCGGTCCCAAATAACCCAAAACGTTCCGGTCCCAAATAACGCAAGACGTTTTGGTTCCAGACATTTCGGCATTAAATCTTTAATTTAAAACTATGAAATATTTTAGACTTGCGTAACTGTTCTATTTCAAACTTAGAATATATACATAAGTTAGAATATAATTTTCTTTTCAGGTAGTTAAAGTGTTGGACATGCTCTCAAAGGTCGGAGGGCCGGAAACACGTGATTATGTAAAAAGAAACATATGAAAGTAAGATTTTTGTAAATTCTATTACATACTTTAATCCATACTAAACTGGAGTTTAAAAGCAGCTTTTTAAATGTTCAGTATTTATGTTTACTTTTAATTTTTGTTAAAGCTCTTTTATAAAAAGTTGGCAAAATTGTTCATTAAGTTAAGATAACAATGAAAACATTTTTGCTTGTTATTTTTACATGTTTCATGAATTTCTTTTTTTTTTTCAGTGAAAATGATGTCACACACGCTATTGGGCGCTACAAACGCTACATATCCTCCGGACAGACGAGGGGTGCTGAAAGAAGGTCATATCTTAAAGCATCACACCTCAAAATTCGTGCTAATTCTCATGGATATCTAAAAGTATAACTTTGTGAAGTAACTAAAAGGCAGCAATTTATACATTACTGACAATTATCAAAGGAGGTCAAAATATGCAAAATGGCACTAAATGTTTTAGAAATGCTGTAGAAATATAGTAAAAGTACTGAAAATCTGTCATTAATTGCTTGAAACATTATTATCAGAATCTTTTAACTTTTCTTAAAATTATAATATTTTCATTGTTTTATTTGATAAGGCAAACTTTGATAGAAATGTGCATACATTGTTTTGTTCTTTAATATTTGTACATGTTTTCTTAGTTTCATTTATGTCATTGTTTTTGTAATACTTTTTGTTTTGTAATTAACTTATTTTATGTTTTATTTTGTTTAATTTCTAAAAATTATTTAACCTTGCAGAATTTACTAAAATTGTATGTATCAGCTTAAAATTGCAACTTTTATCTTAAATTAAAAAAGCATGAAACATATTTTTGCTTTTAGTTTTCTGTTATACATTTCATTTGAGGGAAAGTTACTTAATAGAATGAGTTACATTAAATTAGATCAAATCAGGATTAGCCAGAAAATATTTATGACGTGGTGAAACAAAAAGGATTAGGGGAATGATAAGATGAAGGTCAGAAAATGATCAGATTTAGGGCAGAAAAGGGTTAATATTTAGGTCGGAAAATGGTCAGATTGAGGTCGGAAAATGGTTAGAAACTGGTTAGATTTAGGTCGGAAAATGGTCAGACTGAGGTCGGAAAATGGTCAGATTGAGGTCGGAAAATGGTTAGAAACTGGTTAGATTTAGGTCGGAAAATGGTCAGACTGAGGTCGGAAAATGGTCAGATTGAGGTCGGAAAATGGTTAGATAATGGTCAGATTTTGGTCAGAAAAAGGTTAAATAATGGTTAGATTCTGACGTCTACCTGACGTCAGATTATTACGTCAAAAAAACTTTCAAATCCAACCGTTTTTCCGACCGTCATCCGACGTCAGAACCTGACTTAAATCTGACGTCAGTATGACGTCTTGTGTTTGCTGGGTCAAGATATGTGATTAACCGTTTAAGAATTATCTGGATATAAGAATTTTACTAGTTTATGGATGGAAAACGAAGTAAATTAATAAAAAAATGAACAACTTGCCACATTTTCCAAGTTTCGATCTTGAGACGGACAAAACAAATTCAGGAGCACGGTGGGAAAAATGGATTGGTCGTTTAGAGAATTTATTCAAGGGAATGTTGGTGGACGATGATGACCAAAAAAGAGCTTTATTATTACACTACGCCGGTGAAAAGGTTTATGATATTTATGACGTTGAGAAGAAAGAGACGGAAGAAACTTATGACGCAACAAAGAAAGTGCTTGGGGACTATTTTTCGCCACAGAAGAACATCCAAATAGAGATATACAATTTTCGAACGTATAAACAGTCAGAAGAACAATCCCTTGACGAATATGTCACGGAATTACGGACACTTGCTAAAACCTGTGGGTTTACAGATATTGATGGCGAAATATAGCAGCAAGTTATACAACACGGGAAATCTAACCAGTTACGTCGTAGGGCTTTACGTGAACCTGACAAAAAACTGGATGCTATTTTAACTATGGGTAGGATGCTTGAACAAAGTGACCAACACGCCAAAGTAATGGAGAAAAATGACCAAAACTTAGTAAGGAAAGTATCAAATTACGCACGAAGAGGGCGAGGTGGAACAACACGTGGGAGAACGGCTGCACGACGTGGATTTAACTCGCAGAACCGTGGGAATTTTCGGGAGACTGGCCAATCGTATCAGCGCGGGAATTATCGGCGCGCGTTGCCAACCAATAAATGCAGGAATTGCGGATATGAATTTCCCCACAGAGGTACCCCTTGTCCAGCAAAAGGGAAAACCTGCAACACATGCTCAACAGTTGGCCATTTTGCGCGGTGCTGTCAGAAATCAAAACGAGGCAAAGTAAACGAAGTAAGCCGTGAAAAGGATTTACAGTCCAATTCAGAGGAAGAATTCCTGTTTAACATAACAGTTAAAAGTGTCGCAAAAGAAAACAAAAGGAAAACGCCTCATACAAAAATAACAGTGAATGAAAAGAAAATAACAGCAACGATTGATACAGGTTCAAGTGTTAACATTATAGATGAAAGGACTTGTAATTACATTGGAAAACCTAAAATTCAACGAAAATATTTACCAAAACTTTTGCCTAACGGAGGAGGAAATCCGCTTCCAGTAAAAGGGTATATGAATTTATCTGTTGAAAAGAATGAGAAAATAACCGTAGCAAAATTTTATCTGGTGAAAGGAAATTTTTCAATGTTTAATTTTAAGTGTTGATGAAGTATAGTATTATTAAAGATAAAGGCTTAATTCCTGTTATATTAAATGCATATATGATAATTCTGCTAAAAATTTACACATTTTTAATATACAATAGATTTGTGATTCCTCGAAATGCAAATACTCGAAATTTGCGATTCTTCAAAGTCACACCTCGGTTATAAAAAGATGTGATTCTTCGAAACTTGATTTATCAAAATTTGCTATCATTCAAAGTAAATAAATAGTCCCATGAGATTTAAAACATAGTAAATTGTATGCAAACTTGAAGTGGATATTTTTTAAACCTTTCATTAGATATCGAAATGACATAACGGTCCCTTGTTTACTTGTGAATTATTATTGTTGTGTAGTTAAAAGCCGTGAATTACACTGCAAACTGTGAAAAAAGACGTTGGTGGAGAAAGTGAAAAATAAACAATTTCGAGACTTTAGATTTCTTTAAAACGGGCGATTTTGAGTGGAAAGATATGAAAATGCAATTCCTCAAAGTTTTCGATTCTTCGAAGGAAAATTGTAACCTCGTGCAACTTCGAGGAATTGCAAATGGACTGTAGTATGCATCAATGCAGGATTTTATCTAATACCAGGTCATGAGGTGTCGTTGGCAGTATTTTTAAAGTACCGTATCTTTCGGTATTACTGGTATGGTATATTGTTTTGGCCGTAACAGTATCCAACCCTTATTAGACAATCACTTCTGTTTAAAAAGATAAGGGGAAAAGTATTTATGTTTTTAGAATGCACTCTTCATAAGAAGAGACAATTTCATCATCTAATGGGGACAAAAAAGTGTAAAGTTCAAAATGTTCCAACAAAAGTCAACGTCCCACAAATCATTCATTAACTTACACAATGTATATAGCTTTTATAGATTTTGGCATACATAAAGAGAGAGAAAGAGTGAGAGAAAGAACTGTCCTGTAGGGACATGTAAACAACTGTTACTATAATGTCACCAGTAATATATAAACTTTAAAGGCTGATGATGTGTACACAGGTTGTGGAAGACATTTTTAAAAATGGATGACAAATTGTTTGGGCTATTAGTGGCTGTCCTCATTATTTTTATTCTTTGCCAGATATCCTTACTTATATTATTGTTTTTGTGTTGAAAGTGCTAAGGGTTTCACAACACTGGTTTTACTTAAATTCCTAAGCTCATCAAGGTGAGAAAAAATACAACTTTATTGAATTTAGTTGTTATTTATTTATGAATACATATATGCATTCAATGTGCTTTCAGTACTCCAATCAAAAATCATAAATTTCTTTTTTCCCAATGCCTATATAAAATGTACAAAAAATCCCAAATCTTTGAAAACAAGGGATGTTTTTCACTTATATGTATTGTAAATGGTTTGCATATGCAAACAAGACAATGTTTGTTTGTGATGCACCTTGTAAACATGTTAACGACATCATTTTGTATACATGACACACAAAATAAATGCAAGCCATTTGGAATAATAAATTGTCAGACCTCTCAGAATTTTTCAGACATGTTCATCAGACTGACATATATCACAAAGGGTGAAAATATTTGTGAAAAAGACTTGTTATATGGAAACACTCATTTTCTTTTATAACTGTTTGATTTTATACTACAAATGTTCCCACTACTGTTTTTTGGTTGCGGGTATTTTACTCCCTTTTCTTAGAATCTGAGGGTACAAAATGAAAATTTAGGGTGATACTGTTTTTCAAAGTCAATGCATATTTGACAATACATATAGCTAAAGAACTGCATGTGTATTGCTTGTGATTTTATTATGCTTTGAAAAACATGACAATGGTAACATTAAAGTTTGGATACCTTAACTAGACAATGCATTGACTTTTTCCAGCATTGAACAATAGCTTAAAAAATTTCACTGGCCAATTCACTTTTGTAGTTTAACCAAATAAACCACATAGAATCATGTTTTGACAGGTTTTACATGGGTAAAAGTTATAATATGCCATTAATCAGATATTTTTGACTTAACGGTTGTACTCCTTCACTTCCCAAAAATGTTATAAAACAATGCTTAAGCACTACAGCATGGTTATATGTCTTCTTCCACATTAACCATTTACTGCATACAAGCATGTTTTGATGGGTTTTTGCCCTTATGTCAGGAAATTGCCGCCCCTGGACTGGAAAATGCTATGGGAGGGATGGGTGTTATTTTCACCAAAGGAAAGCCAAAGGAAAGTTGCCTGTTCTGGCTTTTTTCTAATTTGTTTACATATTATGTGTCTAAAGCATACAAAACGTCCAAGCAATATTATAATAACAGGGTGTTTGTTTGACTCAAGGTCACAGGTCTTGATCTGCAAAAATTCTTTAAAATTCTTTTTAACCTGTCAATTAATCGGTTTGCGGGTAGTAAATGAATCGCAAAAATTGTACATATCTTGCCGAAACTTCAAAAGCACTTTTGTCTTCATTATACATGTGATGGATAATAAATACAAATAACAATATAATCTAGGAATACATTAGTAATATAAGTATAATTATTTTGTCTTTAGTTTCTGGTTTGTAGCTTATCAGTACAAAAAATTAAAACTCAGCATTTTATGTCTACATGCATTTCATGTCTAATCAGGACACTATTTGTCTTATGATAGATAAACTATGACTTAAATTGTGGATTTACCCTTATGGGGACAGTATACATTGCTTTGTAGGGACATTCAAACAGGAAGCACTAGTTCACCATATCCTCCAATGTGAAGAGGTAAACTAGAAACATGTGCCAATGGTTTTAAAAAACTTCCATATTTATTTTACATAGGAAGGAATTTTGAAATTTTAAGGAAGTTTTTGTCTTTCCTTTGCATGTAATACTGATAATTTATTTTACTACATAATTGTGCAAATGGTTATCTTGTTTGTTTCGAGTCATATCCATGTTGGACAATATGCTGCTATATGTTGAAATCCAAAAAAATATTTCACCAGAAATTTGGATAGTTGGAAAAGTTGTGAGTAAGTTCATGCAATTTATGTTTTAATATACAGCTGTTGTATGATGAGACTATTATGTGATCACCCATGGCACAGTTTGTTGATATCAACAGTTATGTATGTATGAGACATAACATATAATAAATAGTTATAAGTTCATAATTTACACCAGTTTTCACCGATAGTCTTTTGGTCAATCTTTTGAGAGATGGGGGTATTGTAAACAGTCCATAAAAGACAGCAGTATCATGCTTCTGCCTAGCAAAGCTCTTGTCTTATACTGTTTTTAACTAGGTTTTCAAATGAAAACTGGGTTATTTGTAATGCCGAATCGGCCGGCGGCGCGGGTGTCAACTTTTTGTTTCCACTCGATAACTTTAGTTTGCTTTGGCTACTGACACCAAACTTGGTGTATGGGTAGCTTATATCAAGAGGTAGCTTGGGATTGCTACCCAGGTTTCTGTGGTCAAGGTCACTGTTACTAAAAATAAAATTCATGTTCTGCTCAATAACTTTACTTTGGTTTGACCTATTGACACAAAAACTTGTTGGTATTGGTAGCATTATATCAAAAGGAAGCTTGGGATTGCTTATGGATTTTAGTCATACAGATAGAGAGAGATGGTCTCATCATATTTGGAACATGTACACAAAATTTAAACTCAGGTTATAGGGACTTGTGGGAACATTACCTGTCCTAAAATTACGGTATGCTCAAATGATGTTGTTTTGTCTGAAATGAATTTATTTTTGATATAAAAACAATGTCCCCGCAAAGTTGACATCATCTGTCATTTTACATTTGCTCTCTTTTTGCACCGTTGGGTAAAATGTAAGAGATTATAGCCGGAAATATTGGAGTCCCAAATTTCGGATATATTCTGTCTTCTTCCGGTTACATACGCGGGAAATGTGTTTCGGTAAGATTTTTTTTTATCACATCATTGTTATTCAACTAGATATGTGTATATCAATTTAAAATAATTGTTTCGTTTTCTATTTTACTTGTAGTTAATTCATTTTGAAAAAAATGTTAATACTTTTGCTGGTTTTCATTTATCAAAGCAAGCAACATCAATGGGCTGTTGTGCGGGATATTGGAGGATAGGTACAAGAGGATGCCCAAAAAAAAATTAAATTTTGGAACAACGTTTATATTTTGAATATTTCAAGGGGAAATTGTTAAATAAATGTGGCAAAGTTGCCATAATTCGTTGGTGTGAATAAATAGAATGGGTACAGAAATAATTTGCTGTAACTGTTATTTCGTAACCCTTAGCATTTTTTGGGTCATTTGTAACTATTGTTTGATCGATTCTTAACCACTTAAAATATAATTTTCAAAGTTACTTGCAAGAAATATCACATTAATTTACTGACTCATAATTAAATAAACAAGATTATTTCGGCACGGAGTATAAAAACTGGTATGCCTCACCATATTTCTACCAAAATGAAAGAAGAAATATGGCACTGACACTTTTTTTTTTTGTGCCTGACTTGGTGACATATATGGTTACTTTGTGGAGGCATCTGGATTTTCTTGTCTGGAACTTTGTCATCAAGTTCAAATAATTCCAAATTTAGTATGCATGTGTCCCTTGCAATGACTCGCAGTGCAGTGCACAAGATTTCCTACTATTCCTTTTTTCTGTTTTTTAAATTATTTTATTTATAAATTGATTTTTACAGAACATTTTGAACAAGATTTAATCTTTTTCGTTTTTTGATTATTTTTATAAAAGTAATTACTTTGATAGATTTTTTTTTTGTGCATGCACTTCCCTTATTGTTTTCAAAAAAATTTTTTGAAAATTCCAACCCCGTAGTTTTAATTCCCCGGAAAAAAATAAAAAGGAAAAACCTAAAGTAAAAATTATGGTTCTTGTGAAAGACTCCCTCTCAATTGTTGACCTTTTTAGATATTTAAATTCCCAAATTTTTTAATTATTCTGGAAAGGAAAAACAAGGACTTGGCCCAACCCCCCGAAGGACCAAAGGAAGCTGACTTATAAAAAAACTTCTTTTTTATAAAACTAGTAAAAAGAAGAAATTAATAAAATGTAATGTTGCATATTATATCTAAATTCTCATAGAAATATATTGATTTAAAGAACAACATCTTTTAATGGATTAGTGCTGTTCTTAATTCGGTATTAATTGGTCTTCTTCTCTTTGGGAACTTACATTTTAGATCACAAAGCCCGGCTAATGTCACTAAATTAGTTTTATAATGCGTTTCCTCGATTATCAAGGTTGACTCTAAAACTAATTTTACCAGGGTTCCCCAAATGGAATCCCTGGGTACAACTTTTCAGGGATTCCCGCTTCTTTTGGGGTATTCCTCCAAGCAAAGACAAAACCTATCCTTTTCTTAAATTTATTTTCCCATCCTTAAAGAAGTCCCGGATAAATAAAAAATTTAGCATTAATTTCAATTGATTGTTTAAAAACTTTAAGTGATCCTCTGAATATTCATGTGTTTTAAGGCTTGTTATTTAAAATATACTACAGCATGTGTAATGGCCTAACCTTGTCATTCTAAAATTATACATTTTTTATATTCATTTTTTGTTTTCCTTTTGTTAAATTCCAATTATTTTGCTTTTTTGCTGATTTGCTTAGAAATTTTGTGAGGTTCGTAAGAAAAGTATTCAGCGGGTGAATTTAATTTCGGAAAATTTTTCCTCGGGGGCTTTGGCAATTTCGGAAAAATTTACCATTTCATGGTGAAAAATAAAATATTTGCAAAAAAAATTAAACCATTTAATTTTCAAAATCCCCAAAACTCATTTTTTGTTGTGTTTTACTTTTTTGTTTGTTGTTTTGGATGTTTTTCTTTTTTTTTAAAAACATTTTCCGCATTCGAATCCCCCAAAATTACTCGTTTTTTTTAAAAAATTTATTTTGTTTTCGTTTGAAAAGAAACCATGCGGTTTAAAAAACTTTTTAAACGATCTATAGTTTTTTTTAAATTCTAAAGCGTTTTTGAAGTTTTCCACGAAAGTTGTGTTAATTTCGTTTGAACTGTATGTCTTTCTAATTTAAAAGAAACTGTTGGTTTATTGTTTAGAGTCTCCCCCATTTTTTTGCGAGACGGATCAAGTATTAATTTATTTTTGGGGGTTTTTTTATTTTTTACAATTTAAATAAAAAATATTAAATTTTTTTCAGAGATTATAAAAAAATACAATTCTCGCGACTACTATAAAAAACTGTGAATTTCAGAAGATTTTGGTGTGAACCCTCGAAAAAAACGTTGAAAAATCTAGATGTTCGATCATTCAACAATCAAATTCAAAATGTTTTTTCAGAGAAAATTCACCGAATTTGCCTTGTTTCGTACGAAAATTTCGCTCTGTTGATGTGAAAATTCTCTTTTTGTGTTAAAAAACAAATACTGACAAACAAATATTTCCCTTGTGTCAAATCCGGGAAGTTTGCACCAAAACAAAAACTTCATTAATTTCAATTAGGTCTAAATTGAGAAAATTTCTTAGCAAAACAAAAGTGTACAGACAGTGACAGTGCCAGACAACAAATCAAAACAATCGCATACTTAAGGTTAACCAAAAATCTCTTCAGATCTAGAGTTTCATTTGATACCAATGCATATAATAAGAGATTTTTTAATGGGCAGTTATCTTTTATCAATGTTTTTTACCAAAACTTACATTTTTTAACAGAGTATCATTTGGCATGATTTTTTTTATAAGTAAAAATATCGACTATCTTTTTTAAAGAATACTGCAATGGAAATATTTTATTACATTTGAGTTATATGAACGCATGATGCTGTTGTTTAATCTAGAAAAAAAATGTTTGTTCTTTTAGAAATTTGGGTGACCTATCTATTATCTCGCAACATAATGCTACCCTATAAAGATTTAACTGTAAATGCTGCATATAGAAAGGTTGGAATACAAATATTTGTTGGTGTGGGACATATAATATGCCTTTTATGTGCAGGACAATGATAATCATAATGGTTTCCGAACGGGCCGCAATGTGCAGCTCCAAGAAGTGTATGTCTTGCCAACCGCTGCTGTAAAACTTTTTCTCAGGTACAGAGTAAATATAAGTGATCACCTTAAATTTGGTGTTTCCCTTAAAATATTACTGAAATGTTAAATTTTAACATTTACGGTAAATATTATTGAGGTTTCTCAGCCCTGTTTTAGGCTTGATTTTTATGGGTTTTTTTGGAAAGTTTGAAAACTTTCTGGTAAACCACTGTTTACAAATTAAAATGTAGCTAAATTCTAGTGAATTCAAAAAAATTATGATTACACTTACAATTTTAAACATTTTTTATTGCAATTTTTAATTTTTTAACATAGAAATAAGCGATTTAATAACATCAGTAAATGATTTTTACTTGATGTTTCTTTTTGTGATTGTCATGCATAGTATGCCGGGATGGGAAAGGGGAATCCAGGGTTTATCTAATAAAATTTTGGATCCGTGATTGTATAAAAACATTTCGTAATACTTTTGGAAATAAATTAACTGTCAATGGTAGAAGATGTCATCAAAAATTTATTAAGAAATACATATACAACTGAACAGATATGTCTCTGCTGTGCAAAAATTTTTTGTATTATATTTAAAAAAAATGAAAATGTATTTTGTTTAACAATTATTAACACCCACTTCACTATCTGGGATGATAACTTCAGTCATTTAACACTGGGTCAATGATTTAGCTCCTGTTTCAAGGATTTTTAGAAATTTGATTCAACTTTTTAAACTTGTAACTTCGCTTGAGATTTTTTTGCTGTGCTTTGGGGAAAAAGATGCTATTTAGAATTAGGAAAATATGAACCAATTTTTCAGCTATAAGATAAGCCCAAAAAAAAAAAAACCTCTGCTATCATCGCTAGTTAAACAGTTTTCAAAAACTGTTTTGTACATGTAGGTCCCTGACCCTCATGCTTTGAGTAAATAAAAAATCCCTAATAGATATCATCCCTTTTACATGTATTTCCATGTATTTACCACCAACATACATGTACACAAAAGATACATCGCTTTTTTCAAAAAACCTGCTGTTAAAGTAAAACAAGGTTAGATTTTAAAAATGTTAGGTAATGGCTGAGTTGCTTAGTTGTTATATTGCTGTGAAGCTGTTTTAACTACAGGCATTTAGGCATAAACTTTTTTTCAGCTTAACAAACTACCAGAAAGCAATTGAAATATCCCTATTGAATAGCTCCACAAAATTAATATTTGTATGTACATGAAAAAAAGATAAAAGCTATGTCAATAATAAACTTTGACATTTAAAAAAGTATGTAATTAAAGGTTTATCTGTTTGAGTTTCTAAGAACTATCTCTACTGTAGCAATACATGTAAGAAACAGATGGGCTTAGAGGTTAACCTGTCTGTTATCTTTTTTTTCCCTAACAGCCAACAGAAATTGATGACCTATAAACAAAACAAAACAAAATACTCATTTTTAACAGTTTCAATTTTGATCTGTCAAGAATATCTCTTTAATTTACAGGTGAAGTTCATTTTGGATTTGTTTTTTTTGGTGGGGATGGTATATATATAATTATGGTACACTTATAGGGTGTCAGACACTTCACTTCACCCAAAAGACATTTCACACCAAAACATTTATAAAATTCATTGCATTTTTACATATTATATTTCTAAGTAAATATGATTAATCAGGTAATGTTGCTTTTATTAATTTGTCAGTCTTTTCAAGACATACATGTACATGTATGTCTATAAATTTTTCATCAAGATAAAATGGGGAAAATTCTTTATGCTCTTAATTGGTCAAATTAATGGCTTTCTTAAAAAGACTGACCACAATGAATTATTGAAACTTATCAACTGTAACAGGGGATATCAGTTTACCAGGATTGGAAACACCTTCATTTAACACTCGAACACCCCTGTTCCCTTAAACTATCTCTTCTGTCCCAAATGTATTTACAATATATTCTACTCCTGATGGCTCCAATGGCAATGGCTCAAACTCTTGAAGACCATGTCTTGTCCCATCAACTACCTTTTTGGCTCAAACTGAAACTTGTCAACCAAACAATTCTCACCCAATGTTGTAAAACAAGCATGCATTCATTTTTTATCGGTGTGTATTTAGTTCGTCGTGAAATGACAAAGAACTTGCGCTGTAAAAATTGATCTAAGTTACGATCATTATTATGAAAAGTATTGAGTAACTAATGTTAAATTAATCTGTAGTTTTATTAGGAAAGCATGTCTGTTGTGTCGTATCAACTTACCAAACCATGTTCAAAACTATGACACACTAAACAGATTTGAACAAGATTGCATTTGAGAAAAATGCTATGCCACCGCATTAATACAACACTAAATAGTAGTATAGGAACAGATTTTTTTTGTTTTTATACAATTTTGAAGATTGTCATAATGCATAGATCCCTGACCTATCTAATTCTTATTATCAGATTAGTGGTTAAATCTGTTGTTAACTCAATAAAAGATCAGAGCAGGAATATATCAATGCACTCGAGTCTAGTGGATTTTGGTGGTGAAGGTCATATTTCACACAAACTAAATTTCATGACTACTTCAAAGGACAACACAGTAAGACACTTTCTCAAAATCTAGGTCAGCTGAAATCAAAGTTCACTTTACATCTTAATATGTGCACATGGTTCAAATTTCATAGCTGTGCATCAAAGGAACAAGAAGTAGGTCAATCATCAAAATCTAGGTCACCTGATATCAAAAGTTCAATTTAACAACTAAACCTGTGCACATGGTCAAAATTTCATTGCTGTACATCAAAGGACAAGAAAGTAGGTTCACTGTCCCCTTGGCAAGGCAAAATTTTGGACCCAAGGATTTAATTCAAAAACAATCTTTATACAGTCCACCAAACAACATTTCAAGTCAAATATCTAAGCTGTAGCTTTCTCCAATTCAGAAAACATTTGTTTTATTTTCTGTTTTTACTATGTGTTCAAAATGAGAATCACTGCCCCCGGGCAGGGCCAATTTTAATACCAGGGGAAAAATTTGAACAACTTTGGTAGAGGACCTATAGATGATATTATATAGCAAACATCAAAGCTCTATGCCTTGTACCTTCAGACAAAAATAATTTTTTTTTTTTTTACTACATATGTACATAATGAAAATCAATGACCCCGGGGGACCAATTTTGACCCCAGGACTATAATTTGAACAATCTTGGTAAAGGTTCACTTTGCAAACTCTCATGCCATATATTTAACCTCTAGCCTTTGTCAATTCAGAGAGGAAGATTTTTCAATTCAGAGCAGATTTTTCAAGTTTTTTCTTCATACATATAAGGAAAACTATCGCCTCTGGGTCAGGGCAATTTTAACACTAGGGGCATAATTTAAACAACTTTAGTAGAGGACATATAGATGATATTATATATCAAATATTAAAGCTCTAAGCCTTGTATCTTCAGACAAGAAGATTTTTTATTTTTTAGTATATGTACATAGTATACCCCTGGGGTGGGGTCAGGCCAATATTGACCCCAAGGCTATAATCTTGCTGGAGGTTCACTACATAATGTTTCATGAAAAATATCTTAACTCTAGCCTTTGTAAATCTAGAGAAGATGATTTTTTAAGTTATTACTATATACATATGGCCCCGGGGCGGGGCTAATTTTGACACTAGAGGCAAAATTTGAACAACTTTGGTAGAATACCTATAGATGATATCATTTAACAAATATTAAAGCTCTAAGCCTTGTACCTTCAGACAATAAGATTTTTTTTATTTTTTTACTATATGTAAAAACTGAAAATCAATGACCACCGGGCGGGGGCAATTTTCACCCCAGGGCTATAATTTGTACAATCTTGCTAGAGGTTCACTTCACAATGTTTCATGCAAAATATCTAACCTCTAGCATTTGTCAATTGCTAGAAGAAATTTTTTTTTTAAAGTTTTTACTATATACATATCAGAAAAACCAATGACCCCTGGGGCCGGGCCGATTTTGACCCCAGGGCTATAATTTGAACAATCTGGGTAGAGGTCTACCAGACAATGCCTTATGCAAAATATCTAAGCTCTAGGCCTTTTGGGTCTTTACAAGAAGGATTTTAAGTTTTTACTATATGTACATATAGTGAAAATCAATGACCCCCGGGGCGGGGCCAATTTTGACCCCAGGGCTATAATTTGAACAATCTTGGTAGAGGTCTACCAGACAATGCCTTATGCAAAATATCTAAGATCTAGGCTTTTTGGATCTTTACAAGAAGATTTTTTAAATTTATTCTTATAATTCCTTTTGGTTGCCATGGCAACCAGATTTCTCCATGGAATGAAATTCTTTGAACAACTTTGGAAGCCCTTTACCCAAGGATCAATCCTGCCAAGTTTGGTTGAAATTGGACCAGTGGTTTTTTTCAAGAAGATTTTTTAAGTTCACTATATAATCTATATAACACACACACACACACACACACACACACACAAACAAACACACACACAGGTGAATCGCTATATGCCACCGCATCGCAGATGCTGCGGTGGCATAATTAAAAAAGAGTACAGCAGTGCAGTCAGCAATACGTGATCTTTTTAAAAGTGAATACATAGCATTAGATTAGAATACTGTACTGAAATATATAAAATATACAAACTGTTTCTGACCTTGTTGTTATTTCATTGTCATATGTATATGCCTGTACTTTTCTGTTTAAAAATATTGAATTGGATGTTTCATTGCATGCATTATTGTGACAGACATGAAATATTATCTGTCAAATGGGTTTAATCTACATTATGTCCTGTTGATAGGCATTTATAACCTGTTCAATATTGATAAAAACCAAGATGGCTGCCACATAATATTAGGACACATAAATTGCTAACCTCAAGCAGAGGGATTTGTGATTGCCCAAAATCGGTCTACAGACTAAATCTGGAGAGTCCACATAAATGATATCATTATTAGTAGATAGAGCCCTACAAATCTTGCAAAAAATTTTTATAAGAGTTAGAGCTAGTTTCTTATTCATTTTCAGAAAAATTCACACACTGTTTGTTTTGCATTGTAGATACAATTAATTGTCAGTATGAGGTCTACAAGAACAAGAAAAGTAGCAAATGAGCCACTGAATTTGTCGGCATTGGTAGAGGCTGATCCACCAGATTTTGATATAAAAATAGTTGATAAAGAGACTGGTAATTTTTCAAAATTAATAGAAAATTGGTAATATTGCACTGGTGCAGAGCCTAAATCTGGACAGATTTCAGGGACTGGGGTTCTGAATATCTCTGCAAGTACATAAATTCTGATAGGAGCATAAAATTTTGAATGAATAATGATTTGTTTAAGCTTCTTATTACAATTGTAGATAGAAGTTTGGAAATAATATTTTTTATTAGTTACATGTATTCTTCAAATAGAATTATGTCATTAACTGTTGAGAGAAACGAATAAGTGCCTAAAAATTCAGACACTTTTCTAAACCAAATCAAATCTCAGTGCATGAAATGGAAATAATTTGTACTAAACATGTACTTTCTTTGGCCAATATAATTATGGTGATTTGAATGAATTTATATTTCATGTTAAGGCAGGCAAAATCTACAGTGCTTAATGATGTTAAGTAGTATTGAAAAAAGTAGTAGTAATGGTTCAAATGTATTTTATGTTTTGATAGATACTAACAAGATGTTTTGCTGCTTTGGTTATAGCTCAGTTGCAGTCGTTCAAAGCCACCTTGATCATTCCAAGCAAAATTACAATTGATTTAACATTTTAAATTGATGTCCGAAATTTTAGGCACTGTCAGGATTAAGCCACTGCACCAGTACTGTAGTTTGTATATAGTTAGTATATAGTGAACTAACACCACAGGTATTCTTTCACACAAGTCTTCTTTCCTTATTATTCCCAACTCTCAAATAGACAGAGGAATACTTATTAAACATTGTCAGTCTGACCTTTTGTCTATCCAGCCTCAAAACAAAAACCTACAAAATTTTCACTTGTCTATCCAGCCTCAAAACAAAAACCTACAAAATTTTCACCCCTTCCAAGCTAGATCAGTTTGTAATGCACTGGACTATAATGGTTGCCTACATACCTACAGAGGAGAGGGTTAACCGATTTTAAATGTTCTAATATTCTTATGCAGGAATATGAACTGTCCACAGATACCCAGGTTCTTGACAGTTTTTCTTTCATTGCCACTTATTTTACATGGATCCTGTATAAACACAAGATTTGAAACAGCTGCATACTTGACCACAATTTTTATCAAGTTCTTAAATGGAATTGGTTTTCTGTTCACGATTAGAAGAGATGTTTAAGGGGCCGGAAAGCTCAGTCCATAAAGCTGTGGAATGATAGTCCAAGGGTCCCGGGTTTGAGTCCCTGTCAGGCTGCACCTTTTTCTCACCCTTTGACATTTGGTGACAACATTGGACCGTGACAGTATATAAACTTTAGATTCAAAATGACCTCTGTACTTTTTTTTTCTTTTTTTTTTATCTCTGGATTTTAAGTCGCACCGACAGTATTTCAGTCATCTGGCGACTTTTCCAGCTTTGACTGGTTGAGGAAGACCCCAGATGCCCCTCCGTACATTATTTCAGGCACGGCCGGGCATCTGGGTAGAACCACCGACCTTCCGCATACTAGCTGGATAGCTTCTTCACATGAAAGAATCAAGCCTCTAGTGAGACTCGAACCTACATTGGTGAGGGGGCAAGTGATTGTAAGTCAGTGACTCTAACCACTTGGCCACGGAGGCCCCTTTGATCTCTTCGATCTCTGTACTAGTAGGAAAATCATGGACAAATTTCAATAAAGCGGGGGCCTTTGTATAATAGTTTGAGTTTTCTGTGGTTCAAACCATCCAAATGACAGCCATGACAGCCATTTTGAATTTTATGATTTGTCTGCAAAACATACATGGGACCTTATACCAATTATTTAGTTATTGTAAATGTGCACTAGCAATAAAATATATCGTACCTTTACAATGACAACAAAAACAGGTGTGATTAGCACTATTATTTGACCATTAAGATTTCAGTCTTGTTGGAAAGTTCCAGTTATCAAAGTTGTAGAACTATTTACAATAAAGAAGGCAAAAGAATGGGACCGGGCTTAAGGTTTGATAGATCCCAGGTGTTGGAGCAATCTGAGTATGAGCCAACGATGTTTAACTGTATAGATTTGAAGATTCTACGATCTTGATGACATGTGTATACGACCTATCTCGACATGATCCACACAAAATATACAATTCTTATTGTAGTCAACTTAAATGTTTTATTGAAAAATACTCACTTTGGTGAGTGCTCAAATCCTTATATCTGCCTTTATTCCATAATGTACCATTTCTCCTCGCTTAAGAAATTAAAAACTAGCTATACTTTTAATGTTGTAAATATATTTTTGTGTCTTTGAAGGATATGGCGTGTTTTCTAGAAAACATTTTGAGAAGGGAGAGCCTTTGTTCCTGTACAGAGGAACAAAATCAGTTGGAAGTCTGGATGTTATGGATGACAGTTATGTGTTTGAATTCAGTCACAAAGGCACAATATATTGGTAAGATAGTTTTTATTTTCTTTAAATACAAAGGATAAATTCTTTTATTTTATGCTATTTTTTTTGTCAAGAAATATCATTGAGGTATATCATATCTCATCAATGATTGAAAGAATTGATATGACCTTCGGTGCTGAAAACTTTTTAAATAATTTAAAGAACTTTAGATAAAGGGTGTATCTAAAGACAAAAAGCAAAAAGTTGTTATATAAAAGTGTATTGAAAATTGTAGAAAACTAACTGAAAATTGATAACATGCATTATTTTATGTCAATCTTTAATTAACTTTTTAACTGTACCTTTGGATCAGTCTTGTGCTTCACATACATGTATTCATTCAAGGTCTGCATTTATGTATATGTATGCAAATAATCTCATGTACTGATTATATAAAAGAAATAGATACCTAAAAAAATGAAAAATTAAGAGATAATACCATTATGAGTTCATTTTGCATAATATGTCTCTTCAATGTGCATACATTTCTGGAAATAAAGCAATAATCATTTCTTATACCATAATCACTAGAATATAAGTCACATCTGTGTATAAGACGCACCCCCAAAAAATCAATGCAAATCTTTTGGAAAAAGCTAGGTGCTGTGTATTAGACGCACCAAAAAATTGTCGAAAATAGATTTTTAAAATTGTGATATCTGACATTTATTGAGTCTTGTATACATCTGTAAATATCTAGAGTAACAAAAAATACGGGGACAAAATGCTCTCTTTATTCAAACAAAGAGATTCACAAAGGTCCCCATAACATACGGGGACAAAATGCTCTCTTAATTCAAACAAAGAGATTCACAAAGGTCCCCATAAGATACTGGGACAAATTGCTCTCTTCAATTCACAAAGGTCCCCATAACATATCGGGACAAATTGCTCTCTTCATTTAAACACAGCCATTATAAATAATGTTTCTCTCATGATCCATTTTTTGTATGACCTACAGCATTATCCAGGGCTAACAATTTGGGTGTCTAAATAATGTCCCAATAGTATACTATGAATTCAACTAAGGCTGTTCGGATATACCAGTATATTGATTTATTACAGTTTGAGTCTGAAATGATATGCGTATTGTATCGGAAGCTGCCGTATCGGTCGTATCACAGTACTCATTCTTGGAAAATTTATTGATGTTTTTGATGATCTTATTGCCCAAATAGTAGATGATTCTTTGATATTTTACTGCAATGTGTTAAAATCTGTTGTGAACATTTCAACAATTATATTTATAGATTATGGAATTTTTAAAGTCTGACTTGGCCGTAAGTGTCTGGATCTAATTGATTATACAGACCTTTATACGAAATATTCAATATTCGTTATTTTACAAAGATTAAGGTGTGCAGTCCCTAATTATAAACTGGGAAACTGGTAAAATAAATAAAACTGAGTACTTACAGACACTTTAAGACATTAACAAGGCATTCACCAGACCAGATATCAAAATTTGACAAAAGTTTTTAGGAAAACAAAGAATGAAAATAGTCTATTTTCATATAAAAGGGAGGTAATTTATGCATAGTTTAGCCCTAAAACCTTATTTTTAAATCAATAAGAGGAAAAATAAAAAAACTGTGCTGGTAAATTTTCAATATTGATCTTATTATTTCAGAATAAAGGCATTTTGAATAGAATCAAAATACTTTGGCTAGTTACGGACTGTAGACCTTTAAAAGAAATTTCTATATGTTTTTGTTAACACTAGTGATATAATTTGGAAAAAATGTAATGTGCGACATATATGATACTGCCATTGTATCACAAAATGAGTGAGCTTGAATTGAAATTCTGTCTCCCTATTTTAAGCTCCTTGAAAATTAAGAAATCACCGTATGATACACTTTGAATCTTTTTGTAGAAAATTTGTGATGGGATAGATAAGAGATTGCATACTTTGCACATAGTCCCTTGAAAAATTGTACAAAATGTCCGAAAAGAAAATTAAAAAATGCACCAGCTTGGTGCAGTTCCAAAGTCTTGCAGTTTGGACTGCCACTTGATGATAAAAAGAGTGTAGCAGTTTGCAGAATGTGCCTTGCAGTGGAGGTTCAACTTATCTTGGCTCACATTTTTGCAGTCACCATGGAATAGATAACATAAGTTTATTAGCAAATTTTCTTAGAAGCGATATATTGTATTGTATTGTATTGCCTATCGCCATATCCATGTCGCAGTATGTACAGTATTGGCATTGCCTGGCAATACACAGCCTTAGTTTCAACATCATTGTGTTTGTCAGTATATACATTTAATTCTCATATAACCTTAGTGTATGGGGACATGCAAGTATCTCTGAAATAAGTCCTCACAAACAGGAACAAAGGTCAAGGTCATAACATGCCTTCAAGCTTGTGAAAATAATTTAGTGGAATATAAGTCTATAAGCTGCAGTGAAATAGCTGTATCTCTAAAAATTGAAGATGCTTGCTTAAACTTTAATACAGCAAAAGAGTAACAAATATACAGTCAAACCTGCTTTAGTGGTCACCTGGATTAATGCGCCTCCAGACTTATTATACCAACATTTCTGAATCTCAGTTTGCTATTTGTTATGATATAAACCAGCATTAAGCATTCACCTTCTTTCAGTGGTCAGTTCTGATGCATCCCTTGGTTGGCTACTTAAGTCAGGTTTTGAATGTATGTGGACATTTTTCTCTACATACACTGCAATTTAGGGTCCAAGCTTTCAGACAATGTTAAAAACAGGGGTCTGAATTATAAATATTATAAAATCTTCTTAATATTGGGTGTGCAAATTTACTCCACCCATCTTACAAAAATTATTTAGAATAATTAAAAAATATCTTTATATTTACTTGAAAGAATATATTATATTGTTTATTAAACTACTATGGTAAAAGTTATTTAAAAATGCTTTTTCCAGGCATACGACATGGCTTCAGTTAAAATAAAATCGTGCAGATCATTAATAAACAAAGCAGAGGATGGGCTATAGCTGATCTTTGCATGCTTTTCATACCCTGAAAATTATAATTCCTCTGTTTACTGTATTTCATGACATGACAAACAAGCATTATAACAGTTATTGCATGTTTCACAATCATTTATATGTCAAATGGTCACCATGAAATATGATGCAACCACATTTATAAAGCTCATGTTTGGGTCATAGGATTTTCTACTGCGTTATTATAAGGTTTTGATTTATAACACTCTTATAATTATATTAAGAAGTTCTATAGGTGTATCTGCCACAAATTTTTAACGTGTTACCTCCTCCACACATTTTGCATATTACATGGTGTTGATTTTTAATGTTCTATCCACAAATGTTATTTGAAAAACATAAAAGTAACTTTTACAGGGTATAAAGCTATATATCTGTTGATTGTCAATTGTGAAATTATTGGTCTTACTCTTAATGAGATAGGATTAAATAAATAATATTGGGATTTAAAGAATTTTATCAGTACTTACCTGGAAAGTAAGAAGCGCATGTGCAAAATCAAAGCTAAACTTTATAACAAAGTAGTGGCAGAATATTTTGTTCCAAAACATTTTATTCAATTCATAGTCAATAATCATATCTAAAAGATAACAGAGACTTTCTTTGGTAAAACTTTTCTGTGAAATCCATTAGATTATTAAAACATCTCAGTTAAAGTGTTTTTCAAGTTTCTTAAAAAAATTATTCAGAACATTTAGCTTTACACGCTTAAAATGGAGAATGTCAGGTTTGAAGGGCATTAACTTTTGATACATCTGGAAAGAGATTCATTAATTTGACAAAAACATCCATCTCATAGGGCTAAATATCTCACAGAAAGACGTTTATGAAGCATTTTATAAAATTTTGTAATTATCTCCCTTTAATTCAATATTTAAAAAGGGACAGATTTTCTATTAATTTTACCTGAAGGTGTGTTTTTCTTTTTGTGATCTTGCACACATTGGTTATTTTTACCATCTGCACCATTTGCAATTTAGCAACCAATGAAATTTCCTTAAAATGAATAAAAATTAAGTCTAACCTAGGTTTGTCGCCTAGGATAGAATTCCTAGATAAAACATCTATTCCTTTGTAAGTGTTTAGGAATTCTTTGTGGTTTCTTGTTTAAGCTTCAAATTATGACAGTAAATTATTTTATTTAACATTTCTCTCATACCTTTTCACTTCATGAAACATGAACATAAACAGTAAATTTCAAAATAAAAAAACAAACATTATATTCCTATGATTGCTAGTTATTTTTCATAAAAGACAAGTGCAAACAAAATTTGCAACTATCAATTTCCTGGCAAAGTGTTGCATTCACATAACGTAATTGTGCAAATAATCAATAAAAGATACATAATCATGTCAAAACAAACAAACAATTAAACATTCTGTTCAAACGTTCGTATGTAATTAATAGTTTGTTTATTGTTATTTTTTGACAAGATAAACTAGTGTTATATGAGTAATCGCACATTTTTCAACACATGTAGTTGTACATGTTTCAAAATTGGCAAAAAAAAGATGTTTATTTATTTGGGAGCCATGACACATGAGTATAATAACGAGGTTAGCATTGTAATGGGGATGGGGATACACTTAATTAATAAATATATCTTGTTTGTTTTTAGTATTGATGCCTCAAAAAATGATAAAAGTTTGGGAAGAATGGTGAATGATGAAAACCGGACACCAAACTGTTTACCAAAGGTGGTTGAGGTTATGGGACAACCATATGTTGTCTTCTTTGCTCTAAGGACTATACATCCTGGAGATGAACTTAGATATAATTATGGATCAGGGAATTATCCATGGAGAAAAAAGGTTGTTATATTTTTTATTAACTGAAAAAAAGATTGTCTTTATAAATAAGGCTGTTTAATTAATGAAATATAAGAAGTCCAATTGACTTTCTATCTTTACTAAGGAAGGCACAGAAAGTTTTAAAGCCATCTTTATCAGTGAACCAATTTTTGACTCAACTCAATGTTGGTATGTAAATTTTGCTTTGTAAAAAATTAAACACTTAAGTAATATTAGAAAATAGCTTGTTAATAAGATTTTTCTTTAAATAAGTGTATCTTTTACTTACTATACTATAATTAGACGTCAGGAGTTGTTTTATAAGAAAATCTATATATTTCAGAAAGTTCACAGTAATAAATGAATTATTCATATTATATGTAATATGATCATCTATATATATTTCACGCGGGTTTTAATAAAGAACAAGTGCATATTTTGACATGACAAATCTAGTAACCTTTTTATTACATATGCACCCCAAACTAACAAATGTTAATGAAAATAAGTTTATAATGTCCAATTTTATTTTAAAAAATAGTATCTTAAAATTTTATTTTTGTATATATTTTCAATTCATAATTTTGAAACCTCTCTGCCAATGTCACAAACCACTTGCCCCCTCACAGCTATAGGTTTGAATCTCGATCGGGACTTTGGGTTCTTTCATGTGAGGAAGGTATCAATATGGCTTACGAAACGTCAGTGGTTCTACTCAGATGCCCTTTTGTACCTGAAATAATGCACTGAAGGGCACCTTGAGGTCTTCCTCCACCAGTAAAGCTGGAACGTCCCTGTATGACCTATACTGTGTCTATGTGATGTAAAACCCAATCAAAAAAAAAAGAAGAAAAAAAAATCAACAAATACAATATTGCCTGATGTCGTAATATAACAGTGATGTAGATTGTGTACATTTATGCAAAATGTAAATGTAAATGAATGCTTTGAAAATCAGATTGTTGTTTCTACTGAAAATTTTACAGCTGTCAAGCTTTGAAATATTAACAAATCAAGATTTTAACAAGGAGTCAACTTGATATTTTTTCTGTTCACCAAACATATTAATAATGCATATTGCCTTTTGCAAAAAGTAATTTTAAGAGAGTAATTTAAGTATTTTTGAAAGATTTTACTTAGTTTACTGATTGATTTTTGCTGACCTTTTGACACTGCAATATTGCTTTACAATTTTTCTTGAAAAGTAGTCTGTCAACTCATAAATATGAAAAGTTCAACACGTCAATATAGAAAAATATTGACGTCTTCACTTGCAATGTAAGTGAATGGGGAAAATTATTGCATATGTAATAAGTAATATTATATGTTACAAGTAAATATTTGTTGCATAAGATTTATAATTATCCATTCCTAATAATGTTTTGACAAACAGGTTTTCAGGAAATTGTTTGTAAAAGGGAAGTTTGTTATTTAGTTTTCTATTCAATTTTACTTAGAAACGAAGACTAGCAGAATGTAAAGGTATATTTTGCCCAGTTATAATTTCTTGTTCTTGTTCAGTTTAAAGCTTTCATGTTTTCAGTTTGTTATGAATTTTAAGCTCCCCTGATCACAGACTATGTACAGGGAGTTTTTTTTTTGAATGTGGATATTAGTGAAAGTGTTAAAATAATTATCAAACAAACTTAATTATTTTCCATGAAAACATGGTGAATGCATTATTTACCACAAGGTCAATTTGATAAACAAGAAATGTCTGTAAATTTCTGTGGCTTTGTATTTTTTACTATCAAAATAGAAAAATTGATATCTTGCAAGATCTAAGGTCCAATGATATTTCAAAATTTTCTATGTTATTTTATAAGCTGTAAGAAGAAAGCATTTTATATTTCTCACTGACCAGATATGGAATTTAATATAGGGCTTAAGAGCTTAGATGTTTGGCATGAGACATTGTCTATGGACCTTTACAAATATTATTTATGGTAGATTGTGGGAGTAGCTAATATTAAGATGAAACTTGAGATTGTTAGTTAGATATATGGGAACAAGAAAATGGTTACTTGCTTACAATAGAATTTTCAGCTTATACTCAATAACTTCAAGACACTATGAGCTTATGATACCTTTCCCGGCATGTGTGTAGCTTATATGAAAATACAGTCTTGCATTACTATTTAGGTATCTAATATATATTTTATGTTGACATATTGAAACCAGCTTTCTGTGTTGGTATAAATTTAACTTGTATTATGCCCTGCTTTGGTATTCTACAGAGGTTTTTAGAATCTAGGTCATTGTTTTGGGATAAAATTGTTTTTCTGAATAACAACACATATACTAAATCTACATACTTTGGAAAGAGCTGTACATCTTAAATTTTGCATGTATTCATTGTGTTGCATTCAAATGCTTTGTATCCATGTATCTCATCTATTTGTAAATGTGTCATTCCTAATTCCTGTCACATCAAGACTTTGTCGTTAAAAACCTGGTTTTCGTTGCATTGCAGCATTTCTACTTGTTTAACTTAAGTGATATCTGCATTAAACTTTGCTGATTATTGCATAAAATATAATGGAAAGAGAAATAAGAACAAGAAGGTGTTTGCAATCTTCAATTTGTGTCGCACATAGCTCAAAAAGTATTTGAGCTAAAGTCATGAAGCTTTACAGGAATGTTTGTCAGTGTGTGTAGTTGTGCACCTTAGGTTTGGCTAGTGAATTCATGAAGTATTCTGTAAGTACAATCTTATTAATAATTCAGAGTGTTTGAACATTAAGTTCTGAAGCCCAAATACAAATTGACCTTGACCCTCTTTATTTAACAGAGTATGGTGACCAAATGACATTTACAGAGGACAGTGACCAAAGTAAAGAGGCAGAACTAGGGGCCAGCTAGTGATGCATCTGTTGTTACTGAAACTTCACCATTCTGAAAGAGGTTTGTTTTATTTAACTTCTGAAAGGATATCTGCATTAAACTTTGTTAATTTGTGTATGAAAGATAATTGGAAGAAAAATAACAATAAGAAAATGTTTGACATCATGGATTGGCAGTCAGTGTGGAAATGTTTAATGTGCAAAAAGACAAAAATAAAATTGTTGATTACCTGCAGATAAAGGTGAGTAGAGAAGATGGTGAAAATGATTATGAACTTTCATAAAGTTCTTAAGCCTGATACAAATTGACCTTGGCCCTTTTTCTTTAACAGTGTATGGTGACCAAATGACATTTACAGAGGACAGTGACCAAAGTAAAGAGGCAGAAGTAGGCCAGCCAGTGATGCATCTGTTGTAACTGAAACCTCACCATCTGAAACAGGTTTGTTGTGTTTAACTGCTTAAGAGATATCTGCATTAAACTTTGCTGATAATTGCATAAAAATATAATGGAAAGAGAAATAAGAACAAGAAGGTGTTTGCAATCTTCAATTTGTGTCGCACATAGCTCAAAAAGTATTTGAGCTAAAGTCATGAAGCTTTACAGGAAATGTTGGTCAGCATGTGTAGTTGTGCACCTTAGGTTTGGCTAGTGAATTCATGAAGTATTCTGTAAGTTACAATCTTATTAATAATTCAGAGTGTTTGAACATTAAGTTCTGAAGCCCAAATACAAATTGACCTTGACCCTCTTTATTTTACAGAGTATGGTGACCAAATGACATTTACAGAGGACAGTGACCAAAGTAAAGAGGCAGAAGTAGGGCCAGCTAGTGATGCATCTGTTGTTACTGAAACTTCACCATCTGAAAAAGGTTTGTTTTATTTAACTTCTGAAAGGATATCTGCATTAAACTTTGTTGATTTGTGTATGAAAGATAATTGGAAGAAAAATAACAATAAGAAAATGTTTGACATCATGGATTGCAGTCAGTGTGGAATGTTTAAATGTGCAAAAAGACAAAAATAAAATTGTTGATTACCTGCAGATAAAGGTGAGTTAGAGAAGATGGTGAAAAATGATTATGAACTTTCATAAAGTTCTTAAGCCTGATACAAATGACCTTGACCCTTTTTCTTTAACAGTGTATGGTGACCAAATGACATTTACAGAGGGACAGTGACCAAAGTAAAAGAGGCAGAAGTATGGCCAGCCAGTGATGCATCTGTTGTAACTGAAACCTCACCATCTGAAACAGGTTTGTTGTGTTTAACTGCTTAAGAGATATCTGCATTAAACTTTGCTGATTATTGCATAAAATATAATGGAAAGAAGAAATAAGAATAAGAAGGTGTTTTGCAATCTTCAATTTGTGTCGCACATAGCTCAAAAAGCATTTGAGCTTAAAGTCATGAAGCTTTACAGGAATGTTGGTCAGCATGTGTAGTTGTGCACCTTAGGTTTGGCTAGTGAATTCATGAAGTATTCTGTAAGTACAATCTTATTAATAATTCAGTGTTTGAACATTAAGTTCTGAAGCCCAAATACAAATTGACTTTGACCATCTTTATTTAACAGAGTATGGTGACCAAATGACATTTACAGAGGACAGTGACCAAAGTAAAGAGGCAGAAGTAGGGCCAGCTAGTGATGCATCTGTTGTTATTGAAACTTCACCATCTGAAAGAGGTTTGTTTTATTTAACTTCTGAAAGGATATCTGCATTAAACTTTGTTGATTTGTGTATGAAAGATAATTGGAAAAAAAATAACAATAAGAAAATGTTTGACATCATGGATTGGCAGTCAGTGTGGAATGTTTAATGTGCAAAAAGACAAAAATAAAATTGTTGATTACCTGCAGATAAAGGTGAGTAGAGAAGATGGTGAAAATGATTATGAACTTTCATAAAGTTCTTAAGCCTGATACAAATTGACCTTGACCCTTTTTCTTTAACAGTGTATGGTGACCAAATGACATTTACAGAGGACAGTGACCAAAGTAAAGAGGCAGAAGTATGGCCAGCCAGTGATGCTTCTGTTGTAACTGAAACCTCACCATCTGAAACAGGTTTGTTGTGTTTAACTGCTTAAGAGATATCTGCATTAAACTTTGCTGATTATTGCATAAAATTTAATGGAAAGACAAATAAGAACAAGAATGTGTTTGCAATCTTCAATTTGTGTGGCACATAGCTCAAAAAGTATTCAAGCTAAAGTCATGAAGCTTTACAGGAATGTTGGTCAGCGTGTGTAGTTGTGCACCTTAGGTTTGGCTAGTGAATTCATGAAGTATTCTGTAAGTACAATCTTATTGATAATTCAGAGTGTTTGTGCATAAAGTTCTGAACCCAATACAAATTGACCCTCTTCTATTAACAGAATACAGTGACAAAATGAAATTGACAGAGGACAGTGACCAAAGAAAAGAGGCAGAAGTAGGACCAGCCAGTCATGTATCAGTTGTAACTGAAACTTCACCATCTGAAACAGGTTTGTTGTGTTTAACTTCTTAAGTGATATCTGCATTAAACTATGTTGATTTGTGTATGAAAGATAGTTGAAAGAAAAATAACAATTAGAAAATTTTTGACTGTTTGGTTTGGCAGTCATTGTGAAATTTTTAATGTGCAAAAAAATGAAAGTAAAATTGCTGATGACCAGTGAATGAAGATGGTTGAAAGGAATTATGAACTTCCATAAAGTTCTTAAGCCCTGATACAAGTTGACCTCAATACTCTTTATTTCACAGATTACAGTGACCAATGACATTTACAGAGACAGTGACCAAAGTCACAAGGGAAGAAGGGCCATCCAGTGATGCTTCTGTTGTTACTGAAACTTCACCATCTGAAACAGGTTTGTTGTGTTTAACTTCTTATTGAACTGATCTGCATTAACTTTATTTTCAAATAGTTAAGGTCTTGGGTTAGGGTATGAATTACTTTCTGTGATAGTTATAGTTTATTCAAGGGGATAGGTTCCCCCAAATGTTTAAAACCTTGGACATAGGGGCTAAGCTACAGGGTGCTGAGACAGCTACAGAAATGGAGGAAATTGAGGTTAAGCCACAGGGTGCTGAGACAGCTACAGAAATGGAGGACATAGGGGTTAAGCAACAGAGTGCTGAGACAGCTGCAGAAATTGAGGACTTTGAGTTTAAGCAACAGGGTGCTGAGATAGCTGTAAAAATGGTAGACATAGGGATTAAGCCAAAGGTGCTGAGGACAGCTGCAGAAATGGAGGAAATTGAGGTTTAAG